CGTTCCCGGCCCTCGCTCCCCGCACAGCCATTGCCACCTCCCACCAAACCCCCCCCGTGCCCCTCGGGACGTTCCTTGCAGCCTGATTGATCGACGCTGACAGATGAAACCACAGGGGACACGTGCTGCTGCATCCCCAAAAGTGCCCAGAACATCCCCAGCAGCACCAAGGAGCAGGGTGGTTTATCCACGGGCTCCAGGCTGAGGGAAGAGTCTGCCAGGCTCCTCCAGTGAGGACTGGCACCAGAGTCCAAGGTTGTCTCCATCACTGGTCACAAGAGCTGGAGCGTGACAGACCCTGCTGCCAGGGTGCTCTGCCCCAGGCTCAGCCTGAAATTCCCTGGCTGCATCCCTTCCCAAGGAAGGGTATTTCACAAAATAGGTCATGTTGGTTTAATAAGAAGAGTAGCAACATTTTTAATTAAAAAAAAACCCACATCCTGGCCCCTGGGAAAGGACCCCTTGGCCATAACCTGAACCACATCTGAAGTAAGATGATGTTTAAAGACAGAGCTGGCAACAGGAGACAAGAGCTGGAGATTCTGGACACTCACCCCAGTCCCTGCCTGGCTTTGCACCGACTTCTCCTCAGGGTCAGGAGCTCCTGCCCACCTTTTCACACAGGCACAGCTTTTAGGAGACACCTCCTAAGAAAAATTCCTTTGTAACCACAAATTCACAGCGGTTTCACACCCTGCACCTGTGTCCAAGAGGCTTTTGATTCAGGTGCTCCACGCGTGTAGGGAGCAGGTGTCTCTGGTGGTGGGCTGTGCCTCATGGCTGGTGCTGGAGGTAGTTTTCCAGGACCCTCGGGATCTCCAGCTCTCCCAGGGCACGTGGATGGCCAGCCTGCTTCAGGAGACGTCTCATCGCCAGCCGGGATTGAGACATCAAGGACTTGGGATGAGCTGTGTAAGGAGAGGGAAGAAAACCGAGATGGTCACTGTCGTGAGACACAACCCCGCTCCTCTCCAGGGAGGGCATTGTCCTAAGGGACAGTGCAGATGTATGTGGTGGTTACCCCAGACCCAAACCAAGGCAGCCTGCCTCCAGCCACAGCCAGCACTGGAAATGGGGGATATCTGGTGGACATCTCATAGAAACAAGCCCTCCTGTGACTTTTTTCCCCAAATCCTAGTGATTCTTATCAGGAGTGTCCTGTGGTAGCTGGGGTAACCAGCCATCAGATTCAATCACCAGTGATAGACCTGCTCTTCATGAATTTGTGCTGTCCTTCTCTCATTGTGTTCAGGATTGGAGACTTGTGGTTTGTTTTGTTGCTTTTTGTTTTGTTTTGGGTGGGGTTTTTTGGGGGGTTTTGGGGTTTTTTTTAGGTTTTTGGTTGTTTTGTTTGCTTTTCCTGAACAATCATTGGGCAGAGGGAGGGAAAAATTTCAGAGTGAAATAGTGATACTCCTCAAGACTAGAGAGACCTGTGCATTCAAGTGATGCTGCAAAGGGAGTCAAAGCTTGTAGGAGAGCCTGGGTGAGGCTGCTGGGAAGAAGAGGTTAAAGGAAGGGGAATTCTGAAGCAACTTGCACCCAAACGAGCAAAATTAGTTATTGTTTCCATGTCCCACACAGGTTACCTCTCGCCTGCAGCAGCAGCTCCAGGCCCTTGCTACGAGGTGCCACCTCATCCACCACGACATTGGGCAAGTGAACATTGGCTCCAAAGTCAATGAGCAGCTTGATGAACTCGCTCCTGCAGCCGTGCCTCAGGCAGGTTTCCAGCAGAGTCTTGGGCTCCTTGATCTGGGCGATCACTCTCTCCTCAGTGCAGTTGTAATCGGGGTCAGCGCCGTGAAGCAGCAGCAGCTTGAAGCACTCCAGGTGCCCGTACACGGCGGCGAGGTAGAGGGGACCAGAACAAGCTGCTGAGTTGGCAGCCCACTCAGGCAGCCTGGCTTGAACGTTGGTTTCCGCGCCGTGGTGCAGCAGCTGCTGCAGGATGGCCACGTCCCCGTCCCTCGCAGCGATGAGCAGGGGGGAGCAGTTGTTGTAGATGCTGCCAGCAGGACTGGCTCCTGCCTCCAGGAGGACCTTCACGCATTCCTGGTGACCGTTGCTGACTGCCATGAAGAGTGGGGTTTGAGCCTTCACATCCAGGCTGTCCACCTCTGCCCCGTGGGCCAGCAGGACCTTCACACTCCTGACATGGCCCTTGGTGGCAGCCAGACGCAGCGGGGTGCTGGGTCCCCCCCAGCCACTCCTCCGGTTGATGAACTTCTTGTACCTGTCTTGGGACAGGAGATCATCCAGGGTTTGGTAGTCATCCTCAGACACTGCTTGGATCAGCTCCTCGCTTTCTCCATTGTCCTCTTCATCTTCTCTGGGCTGGAGCATGGAGAACATCTTAGTGATATCCATTAGGCTCATTTTTTCGGGTCTGTCTCCCAGGTACCACTTTCATCGTAAATAGTAAAGCCAATGATCTATGGGACAACAAAACCAGCACCACCACAGGGTTAGAACCAACCCCTGACACCAACAGTGTTTTTACTATTAATACAAAATTTAAGGAAGATTATATACAAAAGATAAAAGACAGGCAACATTGGATGACAGTTCTGACACCCTTATCACCCTGACACTGCAGGTGAGGAAATCCACACTGCTGAAGGTGAAGATGGAGCACACCTGCACTTCCAAATCTTTTGGGACCCACAGAAAACTTGGAATTTTAATTTAGGAGCCAGCAGCATGGAAAGGGGTTCACACTCTGCCACTTTTTGAAGGGACTGGATTTCAACACAGAAGATGAGTGAATGTGATGGTGGCTCGGGTAATTGAAGACTTTCAGCATAACCCTTCCCAGAGTTACATCAGGGTTGGAATTCTGCAAACCCTCCATTCTCTTCTACCTATTTGTCCCCAAGGCTGCAAGAAAGGTCTGGGATTTGTCTAGCAGGGGGAGGGGGTGGTGGGAAGAAGGTGAGGGGATGCTGAACTGATAACACTGGAGCTGGAACCAAACTCTGACACATCTGCCAGTGCTTGGTGCAGGATCTGGCCTTGCCACTGCCAAGCGGCAGCAGGGAGAGGAATGTCCAGGCCAGCACCTGAGCAGCTGGGAAATGCCTCCCGAGGAATTTCTCACCAGGTCCAGCCCCAGTAGCATCTCGGATTTCCTCAGGGAGAGGAGGGAGTAGCAGAGGTTGGTCTCCCCAAGAGGCTCCTCTGATCAGAGGCAAAGAGCTGCACCAAACAATTAACCTCTTTCTGCAAACGAGCCCAACAGTAACAAGGCAGCCACGGGAGGCCTGTCCCACATTCACTTGCAGTGACAAGATCTGCAAGCTCAGAGGAAACCCCCACCAAGGCCACCTGCATGGCTCCCTGTCTAGGTTCAAAGCCCTGCTGCCCTTCCACCTGTTACACTCACCCAGCCATTTTAGATAAGAAATACATGAAGTTGTAACATTAATGTTAAGTACAAGACACACTGATAATGAGCTCTGGAACTCTGGAACCCCTGCACTACATGGCTAATGGGGAAGGGGGTTTTACTGCAGATTCAATTAAAAAAGAAGACCCAGTTATAATCCCAAGGGAAATAATCTAGAAATGCAAAAAAAAGCAGCTGTACAATTTCCTGAACATACAGATGACTTTGACAGCATAAGCACTCACGTGAGGATTTCACAGATGTTCCTCAATCAGAAGAGCTCAAACCAAAGTTGTCAGCTCTTGAGCTGATGGAAGCTGCCCATGCATCTGCAGACCCAAAAAAAGGACTGGTTACCGAGTTACTTTCAATAGCCCAGTGCTGCTGAGGTGCCACAACACCCATGCCTTACCTTTGGCAGGGAGGTGATGCTCACAGGCAGGGTGGGCAAGGCAGCAGCAGTCCCATGGCGAGTTCCTCCTTGGTTTGAACAAGAAAAGAGGAGAAAAAGAGAGAGGCTCTTGCTGTGTTGGGATGGACGTCCACTCTGCACGGCTGGAGCGACGCAGGCGTCAGGCTCACAGCTGAAATGCCACCGTGGGGAGAAGGGCCAGGGAGCTCAGACTAATTTTAGCCCCTGAGGGGTTTTATCTTACCACTTCCATTCTTGGAAAGTTCCTCCAGGGTAAATATAGAGAGGGGCAGCAAGGTGGGGGGAGACTTGGACAGGTGCTGGAGACTGTTTGACCCATCTGAGCAGACACCAAGCTTTTGCTCCACTGCTCCCTCGCTGACATCGCAGGGTTCCCGGCGGGTTGAGTCCCCTGACAGTGTTTCCTGCTACAGCTCCAGCCTCTGTGGTGCCCTGGTTGCTGCCCATCATCCAAACAGACTCCCTGGTTACCCCTCTCCTGACCATCTTCTCCACTTTCAGAGCAATACAAATGACCTGAACTGTTTACTAAACACAAGAAGGACAAAAGGCACCAAAGAGTGTCTAGATTCCTTATCCAAGCTGCTTCTTGGCCTTTTCTCCCAGCTAAACCTGCCAGAACAAACCACTTCTTCAGCTTCCTAAAATAAAGTAGCACATGGCAAGGAAAAAACTTTACAGGGGTGAACAAAACAAGCACAGAGCAGCATTCAGGCTGCCTTATCAAAAGCTGTCAGCTGCTAAGTGTAATCGTATTTTATCCAGTTCCCTTTAAACCTTGCCCAAACTTTTCAGCAGTGGAACAGGAGCAGTCTGACAGTTTGAGGCAGTGTTATCAGCTGGACTAGATAACAAGAGGGGAACCAAATTATCTAGCAGAAAAAAAATCTCCAGTGCTGCAATAAGTAAAATCAGAGGGTCCTGCAAAACGTGATGATGTCTCTACCACCATCACCACTCGCAGTTTGGAGTCACACCATGAAAAGAAGGAAGATGTTCAATTTCAGTAAGTTCTAGACTCTTGGCTTTCTCACAGTTTCACTCTCTCCAAATTCACTCAAAACCAGATTGCTACTTCAAAAAGATCAATTTCCAAAAGTCAACACTATAAATGGAATTAGTGAGTAGGAGAAATATGGATAAATACCAGAGCAAAAGGGAGTTCAGGGTTTATGAAGTGTCAAGAAGCTGGAAGCATAACAGGGATGCTGCAGTCAGGAAAGTTAAACCTGACTGGAAACCCTTTCAACAAAATGCAGAAATAAAAGCAGCAATTTCAAAGACAGTGTATTATAATGGGGAGAAAAGGGGTTACAGAAAACAGCATGAGCACACGTTAGAAAATATGAAGTGTGGGAGACTGTAAAGAAAGCTAGAGATGAAAGGAAAATCCTTGAATGGAAAATTTCCTGATAAACTGCAAAATCTTTTGTTGTTGCTGCTGCTGTTTAGTTGTTAAGCATGAAAAGAAATCTCAGAAACAAGCCCAGTACTTTGGTAAGGCACAGAGATGAAACGGAATTCTAACAAAGAAGGACAAAGTACTTGCTGCTAAATCCACTGTTGTGGGGAAGAACAGACTGACATCCTGACAGAGACTGTGAAAGGGCATCCTCATCCTGCACCAGTATTTACACCAGCAGGATCAGATAAACCCTTAACAGGAGCCCAGGGAGAGGCTCTGATAAGTCTGACCCATTTTGGATAAGCTTCCCAATGCTTCCCACACTGGGGAAGGCTGAAGAGCTGGGGGAAGCCGTCACCTTCTGCCTGAGCTCCGAGCACGAGCAGGCAGCCCTGACATACCAGGCAAAGCAACTCCTCTAGCCATCAACTGGGGAAGAATTCAAGGGCAGAAGTGTATTTAATGCCAAACAAGAAGGTTTTCTGGGAAGGTAAATCCTGCCCAATAGAGTTGCTTCCATTAAAGAGATTTAGTTATTAATGCAGCTGAAGAGAGGTAATGAGCTTTCTGATTTAACGCTAAGCATTCTGGTGTAAAAATTACCACTGAACAGTACCAAATAAATCATTTTGCAGGGATTAAGGATTTACTAACAGTCCTCAAGGTCAGCAACGCACAGCTATTGCGCAGGGCTACTTCTGACTCCTGCCTTTGAACTGCAAATCACTGCCAAACTGCAGCTAAGCCTTTGAACTTGAGTTCTCCTCCATGCTGGTCAAAACATCTGCTCCCACCATTCGGGCACCTACACCTGGCTATCCTGCTGGCCACCTTCTGGCCACCCAGTTTGGAGGAGGCTCCAGCAGCAACGTGATTCAGATGTTACCTGTGAGAGGACACGGACACCTGCAGCCCAGCCCTGTGCACACCTGCACAGAAACAGCTCCCAGGGCCCCTTCTTAGGCATATTGCAATTTAATGGATGCATTAAGACACAAAATACACAGGTAGCATTGAAGGAGGAACCCAGCAACTGCTTCTCCTCCAGGAGCTGTAATTCCTCCTGCATTCCAGGAGCCCTTGGCAGGTATGAACCTGAATCCCAACAAGAGAGCAGGACGTCTCCACTGCTTTCTGACCTCAGAACAGCAGACTGGACCTTCAACCAGGAATTCTTCATACGTCCAATGAAATTTACTGATCAGTATTTTTACTCATCATAAGGTACTTCCTGAGAGCTGCTAAAAAGACTCCAGCAACACTCCTACATCAACTCTAAATAGAACCTGCCCTCTCAAAGCTAAAGTTGGCTTGAATAGGGAAGTTTTACATCATCCTCAGCAAAGGTGCTGTCAAGCAGACAATACATTTTCCCGAAATGCAAATTACAGCTTTATCAATTCTAGTCAGTGTTAATGCTAATAATCCAATTAAATGCAAGGCAAGTCTAATTTAGGCAATATTAAGAACATTTAAAATTAGCAAGAAGGAAAATAGACTTTGAAACATCTGGGGACTAAGTATTCCCAAGTGTCAGGTGTATTTTTTTGCCTTAGTACATAGAAAAGAAATACCCACTTTTATGATGCACAGTGGAAAGTATTTGGGGCTGGGTAACAGGTATTGGTGCTGGGTCTGTTCCTTGTGCTCACAGTCCTGACCAGGGGTTAGTTCAGGCCTATTTGTATTTAGGGTTAAAAGCTGAACAGTCTGGTGCTAAAGTGACAAGGGAAAAACAGTTCCTCCATCTCTCCTGCTGACCTTCAGCATGTTCTCCTGCAAGTCACATCCCTGTCCTGCAGCTCCCTCACCTCCCACACAGAGTATTAAAAAATCTCCAAATGCTTATTTTAAAATTAACTACTAAAATAGCCTATATTGCTTTGCCAGGCACAGATTCAAGCCATTTACATGAATTTATCATTCCAAATGGCATCCTGAAGCATTTTGTAGAGCCATATAAACATCAAATTAACTCGTATCACCTCATTTCTTTTTGCCTTGCAGATCCCTATTTAATTGCAGGATTTGACTGTTACTGCACTGCTTTAAGTTATTAAAGCAGCAATCCAACCCTGATTACAAATGAGGCAAGTTTTGCAGCTGGAATCTCCTTTTTGCTTCAACATTTGTCTCACCTCACTAGAGTCTGCACTTGATCCCCAATCCAACTAATCATAAAAGAGCATAAAATCAGCAGATTCTTCACTCAAAGCTATCATAAAAAAATCTCTTCACCTGGCATCATGCAACACCATTGAAGATCAGACTCAATTTCTTACATCAGGCCAGATGAAAGGTCTAGTTGCTTCTCAGAAAGCTTTTCAAGTCAGCCTTGGAGCCACCTGTAGACAAATTAATCCATGGCTGAGGGATGGACTGCTTTCCAGGAGGAAGAACACACTGAAAAGGGATTCAGTTTTTATATATAAAGAAAAATCTAATTAAAAAAACAGAGTAACAAAGTGTACAGAAGATACTAAGATTTAATACAGCTTCATCAATATTATGACTTTACTGGTTTTGGGGTTTTTTTTAAGACTCTAAGCAGTGCTGCACTCAGCACTCCCTCTGAAACCAGGAAAGTCACCTAGGTCCAATTCTGTAAAAGAAGGGAAGTGGAATCACACTCAGTTTAAGATAAGCTCATTACTTAAGACCCTTTAATTGATTTCACATTTCAAAGTTCTGCTTTGAGTTTTATTAACCAATAAACAGACTAGTTGTTTACTTTAAAAAGACAAGGTATTTATTTTTGTAGGGAATAAAAATAAAGTCATACAACCGAAACTTCATGGAACAAACATTTACAGAGTAAAGACACAGTGCTCCTCTAAACATGGTACAATTATTTTGAGCAGTGCATTAACTAAAATGACCTACATGTACACAGCCACCACAGCACGTTCAGAAATATGGACTTGATCATCCACAACTGCACAAAACTGTCCCTCAACAGTTACACTGACACCAACAGCAACTGACTGACAGAACAGTAGAAATACTGACAATTTCCAGCTGACTACTACAACACGATTTTGGGTACATTCCTACATGGATCACTAGTGGATGACTGGAAGAGTACATGTGTGCTCAGTTACATATTGACAAGATCCAGTGCTACAAGAGACCCCAGTAGTAAATGCTACATTAAATACAGATGCATATACATAGGTAAGTGATAGGAGAAAAGAGGTCAGCCGTGCCTACCTACTCTCTTCCTGCACTGCTGCTGGGGTTCAGAGGTGCCAAAGGACACAGTGCTGTCCATCACACTACCTGTCCTAATTAATTACACCAACTGCAACTGGCACCAACCAGGCTACTCTCAGTGCTAAGGATGCTTAGCAAAACATGGACTTTACCCTTACTGGGTTCCAGACATTCCTCCCTCCTCCAATTAGCCAAATGCTGTGCATTCATTAAAACAAAATGACTACATTCCCAAGAGATTCTTCACAGAAGTGCCTGTATGTGCAAGAGGACAGCAGGTAACCAGGGAGTAGCTGTATTGGTACAAAACATGAGCCCAGCACTGGAAGCAGAGCAGTGAGGAAGGGGAGAGGAGCCCAACAGCAGATCCATTTTGGATTCTCCTGGTCACTCATGAATCTCAGTCACTACATAGGGTCAGGAGATCTCTCACCAGGATTGAGAGGCTTTGCTGCAGCAAACTGAAGCTCACCAGCTACCTACAAGCAAGTGCTCCTCTCCATCCTGGTCAGAGCAGCTTCATGTGCCAGACAGCAGGTTTCTTTAAGCACTGAAACAAAAGGCATTCCCTAAGGGCAGGGACAGAACATGCAGCTGAAAGTATATCATGCCTATAGGCTTTAACAAGCTGCTTTTTCTCTCCCAGAAACAAGGGCCAACTGAGAACTACAGCATCTATGGGCAAAGCAATTATTCCCTTTTTTCCTGTAAAGCAACAGCAATCCAATCCTGCTTGGATTTTCCCTACCACAGGTGACAATTGCCAAAGTACAACTGAAGAATCCAGCAGTCTGAACTTCACATCAAGACATTTCAATAAAGAAATAAAACTACGAGTCCCTCATCTACTTCCAAGAAGTAACTGACACAGAGTATCTCAGGCACTTGCCCACTGCAATGCTCTGCAGCAAAAGAGACACTATGGACAGCCCTGAAAACATGATCTTGGGAAGTATCTCAGTAAAACAAGAGGGGCTCCAGAAAAGGAAGTTTTACACTGAGCCCACCCACAGCAAATAGGATCCCTCCCACCTCCCAGCAAGGAATCCAAATGGAAAGCAGCAAATTGCATTGTTCACTTAACAGCTCCAAATAAAACACAGTATGTGCGACTTCACAAAGCAGGGATGCTCCACTAGGAATACTTAAGTCACAGTAACTTTTCACCTACAAAGTGCTTACAGAAGAAAACTCCTCTGTAACAGCTTTTACATTTCCTTTAGCATTTCAGAGAATGTATAATCCAGCCACTCACCCCAGCCAGGAGGGCACCCTGAGGAGTGAGAGAGGCTTTCTGCAAGACTTTTCTTGAAACCAGAGACGTGAGGACACCCTGAAGTGCTTGGAACAGCTTTTCATATTTGGTCTTGAAACACACAAGAATCACCATCAAAACTAAAAGCTTCTTAGCTAACTGGTTTTCAAACAAATAATCTCATGGAAAGCCAACAAACTCTGGAATCTTAAATTTATAGCACCAGCATGAATGATTTTTAATATGTTCTACACTTTGACCAAGTCTGTGTACATCAAATCCAAGAGGTTTAAAAAGATAGATAATTACTTTTTGGCTAAATTCTGCATTTCAAAGTACAAAGTCATTCATTGCTTTGTTACTGAAGTTCAAAGCAGCAAGATTACTAAAAGTTTACTAATACTTTCAGTGTACGAAGTAATCTTTTCATGGTTCTATGCACCTGTAGTAGTATTGTAGTCAAGAGGGATCTGTGGAGATGTCAGCATCATATTTCAGGGATAAGCAAAGACTCTTGTACTTTTTTCAAGGTCATCTATGGTAACTCAAAAGACAAGGCAGTATGTAAACATTTACACAAACCTTCTGTAAAATGTTTTTGTTTTGATTTGGTTTTTTTGCAAAAAAAAAAAAAATACATTCACCAATGGCACATCTAAATCCTTCAGTAGTTAAAATTCTCTACAATTCTACCTCCAGTTTTGATTAGAGAACATTAAAATAACTGATGATATCCAGAATAACTGGTCCTAACAAGTGCCTGTCTTGGCCTCCTTTACCATCCTAGAGTTCTGTATCCATTGAACTCTTCTACCACCTAGAAAGAGAACACAGGGTGGATCTGTCAGCCCATGGGAAACAGGCTCTAAGCTAAGTGCACATGTGAAACTGAGCTTCCACACAATGAAGAGACCAGGACAAACCATCCCCCCAGCACCCTCCAGTGGAGATCTACAGCAGAGCCCACACCCTGGGTATCTAGAGAAGATGGGTTAAGACTTTATTTGCTTGAGGAGTATGTGAATATGGCAAAATAAAAAGGCTGGTAGACTAACTGAATGTCAGGGGCTCGGCAGCTCTTTATAGTAGCAAAGACCCAACAGGAGATCTTCATCTTCAGGTTAAGGTAAGAGGCATTCAGGAATGTTCATCCCTCAAAAAAAAAGCAGATAGCTGTTGCATGATGCAGTATTTTTGGTACATACCCACACAACCCTTTTTGCACACCTGCTTCAGCATACCTGGTTCAGCATGTTATGTGCTCAGTTGCCACATCAATCACATGCTGCAGTTCTACCTTGAAAGTACCTACTTTCTTACTTTCTACTCTACCTTGAAAACAACTATTTTTTAAAATGACTTAGATATTACTGGTTTTAAGGCTGAAAACCCTGCAACATTAAAAAAGTTTCTCTTTGCCATTCTAGACATGAAAGAAACTGTTCTCAGGTGTTGTCCTTTGTCTTGGGGTCTTTTGATATGCTTCATAAAAACAGATATATTTTCTTACCCAGACTAAGACACTCAGGGTTTTTTGCTTTTCTACTTAATCTTGAATACTGAAATCGACCTGGTCATTTCACCATAGATTATAAGCATATAAACAATGGCTGTTGTATTTGATGATGCTACGATAGAATGATTCTCCTTTTTATCAAAGACTGGGAGGGCTAACACTTTCAGTTTGTTTCAAATTTTTAGAAAAGAGAAAATCTGATTTTTAAGACCTAATGACAGCATCTAATTTAAACAACATGATCCAAAAGGAAGCAGAAAAGCATATTGAATTAAGCCACACAAAGGGACACTGCCATTAAGCACATCTATAGAAGCTTGCACAAGACAGGTACTGTGGAACAGCTTTCCTGGGCAGGAGACAAGTCACATCCCAATCTATTTTTTGTCACCAGATTCACAAAACCACCAAGTTAACTGCCATGATATGTATTGCTCATGTCCCCATGTCTTGCCAGTGCAAATAAAACATCTGAGGGTCAGGTAATATTAACATCCAAGAGAACATTCGCTATATCGCTCAGCAATGTGATGTGAAGTAATCACTAGAGGCTCCATTTCAGTAATGCAACACACCTCATCTGCAATGACTGCCTCATGGATGGATGTGAGGAAAGGACATCAATTCCAGCTTAGAATAAAGAGTTACTCTCTTCCTTCTATTTAACCAAGACCATAAAACAAGAGAGAAAAATTCCTTATTATTTTTTTTCTCTACTTTCTCATTTCTAATCCTCCTTCTGTCAAAAATTCCTGTGTTACAGGCTGTCTTTGTGGCTTGCTGCATGCTCATGAGCAGTAAATGAGGTCCATAAAAGCTTATTCTTTGAAAGGTCAGCTTAGAAAGAAGGTACTAAGCTCAAAGGATCAGCAAGGATCTTGGAAAGCTGGCAGCAGATAAAAAACCTTGTTTAAAAATACTGACTACAAAGAAGACCAGGTACTACACTCTACACTGCAATAATAAAAATAGTACATTGTGGCCAGACACTAACATGGTCTCCATAAAAAGGCACAGGGGGGTTTGTTTTGTGTACCAAATATGCATAGGAACCAACAAATGAATCAGTTCTACCACAGGGTGAGGATCCATGCAGAGATTTGTTCACAGCTAAGAAATGATGATTTTTTTATCATTTAAAGATGAACTGAATTCTTTTCTCGTTTTAAGATGACCTTGCACCACCACTGAGAATAGACAGGTAGCACCTTTCCTGCTCCAGTTAAACACTGCACAACTCCTGAGCCCCATGTTAATTAATCAAGGTTTCTTCTAGTTTGAAACACCAGTACTGGCAGGCAGTCATAAACCTTTAACACACATCATGTTTCCACTGAAAAATGAGGATCACACTAACCCAGGGCAGACTTCTGGGCAGCTTTGGATACATCTTCATAGTTTTGGCTGCAGAGCAATGTGCCCCAAACCCAAGGCAGAAGGGCTGTCTTCTCCCCAGTGAGCACAACTCCTGCAAACACCCGTACCCACGCTGAGCTGGAAATGGTGGGGGACACCTGGGGGGACACAGCTCCCTCACCCCTCACCACCAGAAGTGCCTGGTTCACTGAGCACAGTTCTCAAAGCTGATCAGTGGTGCTGAGGCTTCCCATCCTTTGCTTCAGAGTCCAAAACGCCAAGAGCATCGTTAAGCTCATGGAGGTGGTGGTGGTGGGACAGGTTCTCCTTGTGCTTTTGGTCCAGGTCTGACATAACATTGCTGTCCCCTGCTGAGGCACCATTGCTCAGCACAGGAGGAGTTTCCCCTGTGTAATCCTGAGAAGTGTTGAGTATGGGTGGTTTTGAAGCAGCACTTCCTAGTTTAGATAAGGAGCAAGTGTCACTGGGCAAAGGACCATCGAGGAAAGGGAGTTTCTATACAAGTAAAAAGACATTAAAAAAAATTAATGAAAGTCATTGTTCTCAGATGCACATTGGTTTGAACCCAGCAGAGTCCATGTTCAAACTAGCCATATTTGCCAAAACCATCATGTGATTTTAAGAATTATTAAGATTCAAAACTCACATTTTCCAGCTGAGATGCATCATCCTCCAGCTTCATCTTTTGGCTGAGGCAGCTGAGCAGATGGTCCAGCACACACTGCTTTGGGTGCATCCCCTTCTCAAAGCGGTTGTACATCCCACACCAAAACCTTGAGAGCAGGGCAAGAGCAGACAATTAGGCAACCAGTTGTACACCACTGGCCAACAAACTAGATGCTCTTTCAAGAAAAAAAAAACCAATAAAACCTCAACAAATTGAAATTAGGAATTGGTCTTTAAAAACTACCACAGCCTTGGATTGTACAATTCAGTATCAATGGGCAAATTTTCATAAAGCTAAAAAAAAACTCCTGAGGAATTCAAGTCCTTCTGCCTTGTGATCTACATGCACTGGCAGGAGGTCTCAGTGCAGAGAAAATATACTGGTTTCTATGGCAGACCCAGTGGAAGCGTGGGCAGCTCACCTCCAAGCCCTCTGCTCTGACCTCCCTACCTTTATCAAAGGCCTTTGCCCACCAGTAACCACACACAGCACATCTAAAGACACATCTGCATCCCTCCCCTCAGGAGGGAAGAGGAGTGAGGCAGAAGCAAAGCCAAACGAACCACTTCAGCTGCAACACCCTGGCCAAGCACACAGACCTGGCAACAAGAAATCCCTTCTTGTGAAAACCATCCAGACTGCACAGGTTTGGGTGTGAGTGGGCACTGAAATCCCTGTTTGAAAGACTTCCTTAATATTTTTATTAAAAAGGAGGAAATTAGGAACTCTTTTCAACACTTAGATATCCTATCATGTAAATTTGGCAGAGCAGGCAGTCAGGGTGTGTGGAGGTCTATCTACACAACTGAAGTTTTTCTCCTTGCCTTCCCCCACCCTCTTTTTCAACACCAAAGAAAAAAAATTAAATGACAGTACCTACAGTTATTTAGCAATATCCTATGCTTTACAACTCTATGGATGAGGAATGGAGGGGAAAGGTAAAACAAACCATGCTAATCAGTGAAAATGCATTTTATTAATCCTGAATTATCAGTCTACATTACAAAGGAAGAAATGCCCCAATCCTTCCCCATCTTAAACAAGCAACTCACTGGAAACTGAAAGGTAGTGTGTTTGGTTGAAGCTCTTTGTAAGCTGTAAATCCTCTGTACAAAGGATTTCTCAATTCCTGCTTCTTCTGTACGAGGAAAGGCCACAGAGAATGGGTCTTCTCAAAGATTCTGTCAATTACAAAGAACACCTCATCACTAAAAAAATAATCAAGTTAAATAGATTAATAACTCTAGCTGTTCTAAGTAGAATTAGATGAAAGGAGCTAAGAATTATTTTACACAATATCTGATTCATTTCATAAACTCAAGATACACCACTGGGGGATTAATAACTTAAAAAGGACACTATCCAGTCCAAAAAGGGGCATCCACAAGTTTTACTGCTGTGATCCAAACTGAAACATCTGACTTTGGGGATACAATTAATCTATTTTTTTTCCCACATTGTAGAACACAAGCATCGATCACAACAATGTTTCCCCTAATCTACAATTACACTAAACAGACAAAACCAAACACCACCTGGCCTCTTCCTGACAGTAAAAGTGACTTCTGGACTGCTTGACTGCCAGACTGGTGGCTCCATAAACTGCCAACTCACTTCAGATCCTCACGTTCCTTATGACAGGTGCCAAGGAAGTTCCCAAACTGGCAGGAATAGACGTGGTCATGGATTTCCAGGAGGAAACGCTCATTGAACTCAAAGGAGCATGGGAACTGCTGCATGAGCTGCCAGACACATTCAACAAACTGAGTGAAGACAGGGGATACTTCTTTGGGGTCACCATTCAAATGGCCACACCTGGAGAGATGCAAACAAAACCAGGGTTAAATCCTGGGCTACCCAATAAAAAAATAATTCCCTCACCATTAAACAACAGGGAAGTTTTCTTCACTACTAGGATAAGAAGTTATTCTGCAGTCAGAAAAAAACCTGCATGGTTTATCTTGTAGCAACTGTACATGAAGGTGTGTCACCCTCAGCATGACTTGTTCTCCCAGAGCATGGTAGGAGTAACAAGAACTATGTGACATCCCTTTCCTTAAAGTGAAATTAGCAATGGAAGAAACTCAAAACAATCCTGAAATTCATGCCTCGAGTATTTTTTGTACCTATTGCCAAGTTCTCATATTTGGAACAATCCTTTATAAAAGAAGAATAGCAGGGTTTTTTGTTGTTTTGTTCTGGGGTTTTTTTCAGTCTTAAAGAAAGGTGAGAAGAATCCCTAAAAAAGCAGAAGTAATGACCACAGAACATTTCTTTGGCCAGTAATGACCAGGCAGAAGTTTATCTTTGACTGCTTCTTATATAGAAGGATAAGGGTGCACATGCTGCTTATTTTCCTCAGGTAAGCTTTAAGGGAACAGATACTTGAGTAATAAAAGCAGGAACCAGTTTCATTATCAAGAACAAAGCTTCAATTTTTTCCAAGCTAATAGCACTGAATAGACCAGTCCCTTCCATCTCATGGTCTTCTGGACCATCTCAGTTTCTAATTTCTGTCTGGTAAATATAACAAGTAGTAATTCAAGGTAATATCCCTGCTAGATGCAGGATATTTATAGGAATCACAGCATTTTTAATTTGCTGGTCAAACTGGTTTTTAGCACTGTATTGGGCTCAAGTTTCTGCTTTGAATTGGTAGAAGTCCTGAAAACCATTAGCTGAGATTTTCTTCCAGAAGAATCAATATCTTGCCAGAACATTAGCACTCCTCATACAACACAAATGTGATTTTACAGGTAGGAAAACACTCAGAATTCCATTTGTTTGACTGGATGATTTTATAAAGCAAAAGAAAAAAGCCCTGATGAAAAAGCAATACAGAGACTGGCTTTATGTCACCACCTCCAGTATTTTCCACATCTTGCCCCCTCTGTCCTGTATTTTCTTTGTTTTTCCCATGGGAGTACATGAACTTGGAAGCAGTGCATTAGTTTCTCAGCCAGGCCTTCACCCATTCTCTGCACCCAAGAGAAGTTGCTGCTCTTACCTGTGTGAGAACTTGTGGCCCATGGCAATCCACTCTTTCTCTATGAGAACCTTCAGTTGCAAACAGAGGTTAAAACCAGAATGTTACTTTGTATAGAAAAAGCAAGATAAAGCCCTCGATGTTAAACTTTAACAGCCTTACAACCAATGCTACCTGCTAATCCTACTGTTGTGAGTACAGCCACAGGAGTCAGTGAAAATAGTAATTTATAGAACAGTTACCCACAGTTATGGCTACAATGCCACTGCTGGAATCAGAAGTGACTTCAAGTGAGTCTAATCATATTTTGAGGGAGTTTCTATGTCATTACAATCATAATATTTAAACATACTGAGCTGAAATAGTTATTACACTGTGCTATTTAATTCACAAAAGAACATTGTGATATTCAGCAAAATAAATCAGCAACTGGAATGCAAGAAATGTTGAACACACAAACAGGAATATGAGAAGTACAGCTGTGTATTGATGAAACCAGAACCATCTGGCTGTTGTGCTTTTGAATGCCTGTGCTATACATAAGAAAACAACAAGGAAGCAGTATTCTCCTTACAAAATATGTCTTATAAGGAACCAAATGACTGATGCTGAATCCACTATCACTTGTCTTGCTGGATCATATTTAAAGATCAATTCCTGATATCATCATCCAGAGACTTAAAGAATAAAAGGTGGGCAGAAATTCAGAGTTCTTCGAAAACCTCAGTTACATTACTTTTCATTACTGTTCCATTTTTTACCCCCCTGTAGCACTCACTTAGGAATAGCCACTGTCACAGGCTTTCTGCATATAAACCATTTGCTCAGAGGACAGAGAAGCACGTCTGGTTTAGTTACTGCTCCTGTTCCTGCTCAAAACCATGTTCCTTAGTTCCTACAGAGCTGTCCAAAGCACAACCAAAGCCCAGGAAGGTATTTCATGCCCTGATGTAATTTTAAAAGATTGCAGTATAATCCAGAAGCAAAAATAATAATAATACAAATTGCACAGAATGCAAGGGAAGAGTCCTGGCAGTGCAACACACCAGAAGAGGCAAGATTTGCATTGTTGTGATTTCAAGGTTTCTTTTAAGTATCTCCTCTGGGAAAGAAGCAGCAGCCTGTCTTACAGGTATTTACAAAAAAGGAGATTAACAGAAAGATAACATCACAGACCACACTGTATTTATGCAGCTATGGCCTCAAATGAGAAAAAGCCTGCAGTAGAAGCAAATGATCAAATTAATGTGTAATGGCTTTACAGAAGGTCTTAAATTATGCAGCTTTTACATGATATACGGGTTCCATGTGCCCTGTGCACAAGAATGAGTTTACCCGATTTTAAATCCCAGCAGATAAGAGACAATTCATTGTAACAGTCTTAAATGACAAGCAGCTTCACCATTTTTTTGGTGGCTTGCTGCCAGAGTTGCATCCTTTTCTCACTCATCTCTTCCTGAAAGGTCTCATTAGTGGTGCTCATGTAGATCCTCAAGGAAACAAAGATTTGAGAACTGTAAATCAGCTGCTGCCAGTTCTGTGCCCATGCTGTTCAGAGCAATTAAAGCTTGTTTAGAGAATCAAAGCTGCTTTTATATAGGTCACCTACTATTTGTTCTAGGAAATGGCCTAAAATATTTAATTAAGGCCTGTTTACGTTTCAAATCCAGGAAGCACTTTCTTCTGTTTGGAATCCCAACATGTCTGTTCTTACCATGAAGCCTTTCAGAGTCCTATAAAAAGGGTCCAGGAGGAGACAGGCCAGGGAGCAGACCTGGGCTGTGCGGTCCCACCCATCCGAGCAGTGCACCAGCACACTGGCCTTTTCATCCCTCACAGCCTGTGAAGGAGACACCAGACAGAACAGCTTAGCAGCTTTCTAGGTTGGTTACTGAAATTAAACGCTACCCCTTCATCTGTGTTTACCTGACTGGCCTAAAACCCAAGGGGGATATTTGTCATTTCTCATCTGGACCATGGACATGCAGCATTTCTGGGCACACAGCCACCAACCCACAGGAAACTCCAACCAGAAGAAAACGCTGCTGTGTGCCCCACCAGCATGTCAGACTGTCAAAAAACAAGGACTCTCTGATCTGAAAACCCTCAGTCTTCTGAAAGGCCAAGAATTCCTCCTCTGAGGAAAAATTTGGTGGATGAGACAAGAACAACTGGACACACAGGGAGCAGGAACTTCAAGAAAAATTAGAACTTCTTCCCATAAGGATCGTAATTTTCCCTTTGTACCAGTGGCAGAAGAGAAACACGAAACAGCTTCTTATTTGCCACACAGGGAAATGTAGAGAAAATACAATCTTTACAGCAGGTCTCTGCTCTTGTCCCATGCTGCCTGGATGCCCTTGACCATCACTGAAGAGCCACGTGCCTTAGTGACACTTGTCCTTTTCCCTGACCTGCAAAGCCACCAGCTCTGCAGCAATGGACTTCCTTGAACAGGCAACATTAGCAGTCTCCTCACCACACAAAACCAGGAGAAAATAACCGTCTCAGCAATCCCTCATTTAAAGCAGAGCAGCCCAGCAATGAGCACAAGGTTATAAGTTGTTTGCACCACCAAAGATGTGTGATATAGAGGCGTCTATAAGTTAATTTATCCTCATTCTGTGATTCTATTAGTTTCTAATGAGTTCTAATAAAGCTTAGATAACTGCTTGTTACAATTCAGTGAAAAGGACAACATCTCAACCTCTACAGCATTTCACTGGGTCACAGAAAGTGTCCAGGAGAGAGACAGCTGGGTAAGTCACTCCACGTTCTCCAACTGCAGGATAAGGCCAACTTAACAGCAATGTTTTCCCACCTTCCCTCCAGAGACAACTTCACAGCCTTGGAGCAGTCCCTAACAGACAAGTACATATTTTTTAATTCACCTGCAGTTTGGGGTACAGTTTTACCTTGGCAAGAAAGACACCTGCATCCATCACAGCCTTAATGTGCCGTAACCAACCTGAGTTCTCCAGCCCAGTGAGGAAATCGCTCATTGAGGGGGACTTCATTTCACACACTAAGGACACAAACAAAGGAATTAGCTGATGCTCTGACAACACCATCTTTTTCTCTTTCCCATCTCCTCATTATCTCTTCACAGCAACAGAGCTTGGTAGATCCTGAAAGCTAGTATTTCCACACTATTAAGTGTCATCAGCAATATCCTGTCTAAAGGACACATAGAAACTACTGGCTGCACACTGAGATACACAAACTGTTTAACTCTCAGAGAACTTGAGAATCTGAAAATATCCTTGTTTTAAAGTGGTAACTCATTTTTTTCAGCTCAGTGTTTTTCCAACAAAGAAAGTGTTTGGCCATCTGTTACTTCACTATTAATCACCACCACACAAACACATCTAACAACCACTAAGGTGCAGTCACCACCACCCAGATTTGAAGAAAGAAGGGGTCTAATTTAGAGAGAGAAATAACACATCTAACCTTGAAGGCAACTCAGATGCTATATTGAAACCCAGCACAGAAAATACTTAATAGTCCTACAGTTCAGTAGTCCATAGCACCAGCGAAAGATTTTATCACTGTCAAAGAAGAATATGGGAGTAAACAAGTACTTATTCTGCCCCTTCTTCCACCACAAAATAAATCTGCAAGGAACAGGCAACTGAGGATTTATACTTGAGATCAGGACAACCTTTCAGTCCTGTGAATAGCCTCAATTTTCTCCAAGGTCACCACAGATCCTGCAGTGCCACCTGGCCAGGCAATTGGTAGAATCAATTATTCAACTTTTTTGAAGCAAGATGACCATTATGGTGGTTACTAAAATATTAAACTCTTGTTTCAGATGAAAGCATTTGTATTCTATTTTAGAAAACTAAGCAGAGGGACCAAGCAAAATTATTTGCAGCATCTACTCTGCCCTCTTCCACAGTCTCTGTCAGCACAAGGATGGTAACAGTGCTGGAAACCAGCTAGCAGAGCTTGCTGGTCTGATCCAAGCTACACCATCACCTTGAATGGAACTTCTCCAGAAGTATATTGGGAAAAAACAGGCCTGATTCACCTCTTGATCTCCAACAGCTCAGCCAAGTATTTCTTCTGCCCTGCTTTGCATGTTTCCCCAAGATCATACCCTCACAGAGTCGCTTAATTACCTGAGCTACTCTGCATTTTAATATATTTTAAAGTATTAAAATGCTTTAATGCATTTCAATGTATTAAAAACAAGTTCTGTAAAAGAAATCAGAAATAAATGAGAAATAAGAACTACTCACATATGAGATTAAAGTCTTCAGAAGATCATGCCAAAATTTTATTTCAAATGAGAAACACTGCTTAACACTGAAATACTCCAAACTAAACACAGCAAACCCAGAAAAGTCTTCCCTCAGCAGCTTAGGCCAGTTTTCTTTCAGTAGGTCACAAAGTAACCAGGAGCAATACCTACCTTCCAGGAGCTTCTGCAAGCTGTTCCTCATCACGTGGATGTTTTCTATGCCAATAAACTTGAAGCGGATGTTATCGTAGTTGTCTTCATTCTCATAACCCTTCCCAGCAGCCCGGTTGGCCATAGCATTTAGCTGTCAAATTCAAAGGAATGGGAAGAGGATGAAGAAGAAAAGAGGAAGTTACAACAAACAATAAGCAAAAATAAATGTGTTTTGCAAGTCCTTCTTTTTCAAAAATCTCCCAGTAAATATAAAACAAAGCTGTTAGTCAGACATCCGCTCCCATCTCCCAGACTTCACTTCCAGCCGTTTCCCTATTAATTATGCCAGTGTCTCCAGGCCATTAGTCAGATGCAGAGACTCATTAAGAGCCTGGCTAGAATTTCTTAGGGTAGGCAGTACCAAAACCATGCCCAGTTTCAGAACACTGCTGTCCTCTAAACAGGTAGAGACATTGGGTCTGCCTTAACTGCACAGCTACATAAAAAGTTGCAGACCAAAGCATAAAAAAGTGAAACTGGGAAAGCCATTTTTATGGGTAACATACATACATGATGGTATAGAAATACTAAGAGAATTCCAAAGCTTTTCACAGACATACATGCACAGATGAAATAAAGCCATCTGAGGGAAACATAGAAATATTAAAGTTGAGCAGAAAGAACACAGCAACCAACTGGAACTGCAGAACAGAAGTAGAAAAGAAGTCAGCTGCTCTAACAATTCCCCCAAACAGTACAAGGGCTAACAGGAAATCTTCAGTGGGGACAAAATAATTAAAAAAGAACACCTCAACCCCCCATTAATTGATTGAAGAGGAGAGATTTGCCTCCAAAGAAAGGAGAGAAAGAAGAGTCATATAGGGTATATACATTTTTAGAACAATTAAATAACCCTAGTGCTTCAGTTCTACCACTCAAAGCAAGTTATGTTGTGCTAGAAGAAGAAATGTGACCAATTATTAGTTGTCCCTTTTTCTCCCAATACTTTAGAACAAAACTACCATCAGTGATAGATTTCAGTGGAATATCTACCATACTGGGATTTTTCTGCAGCAAAAGAACATATATGATTGCTATAAACATATCTATAATCACAAAATAGATTCTTTCTAGGAAATGTCATACTACAAAAAGTCAAAACCATCTTGGAACAACAGGTGAAACAGTCCCTGTTTTTCCAGACAGACTTTTTTCCTTCTTGCCCTTGCAGCAGGGCAATACTAAATAGGGCAATACTAAATGTATAGTTTCTACAAAATAATTGCAGTATCTGAACAGTAAAGCAGGTTCTCAGAAAGCTTAATTTTTTAAATAATCAGAGCCCTTCTAAATCTTTGTTTTTAAATAATGTACTATGAAAATCCTTGTGTCCTAATTTGCTTTTATCAACACTCTCAATCAATATGTTTAAAAGACAATGATTTGAATTGGTTTTTAAATTCAGTTCCTCAAGATGACAGTCATTAGATATTTCATTTTGCAAATATTTCTTCAATATCCTCTTACACAAACACCTCAGCAATAACGTTCTAGCCCCAAATAGTGGCCACAGATCAGAATAGCTGAATTGCATTCAATTTCAAGCCACACATCATGAGAAAATGTTATTTTTACAGAGGCAAGAAAAATGGAAGAATTGCTTTTCCTGATTATTACCAGGCTCCATACATCCCCACTTCTTCCCAAGCCTGCTGGTAAATGCATGTCAGCCTCAGGAAACTGAATCATAAGGCTTCCCTCCAACTCAATAGACCAAGGACATAGTTCTCTGCAGGAAAATGCTTCGCTGTCTCATCCAGGTTGAGGACTGCCAGTTGCTTAAGGTCCTCCTTAAGGCAAACCTCAACCCAGAATCCTCCAGGAGCTCAAGCATTGTGGACAGCATTTCACATTGTACTTTTACTCTGCACAAGCATTCCTCATGTAAAGCCCCATACTGACCTCCTGGTCCAGGCCTGGCACAACGTAACCTAATGTCATGTAAGAGATCAGGAGAGCTGAGAAAGGATGACCTGGAAACAGTGCTACTAATCCAGATGCAAGCTTTATAAGTAGCCACAAACCCCATGAAGATACCTTTGGCCTTGTGTCTACAACATACATGAAGGGGCTCCCAGGGTTGGCCTCTCTGATGGCCTGCAGCATCTGCTCATCCTCCAGGCAGCGCGCGCTGAAGCCGGAGAGGGGCTGGCTGCAGCGGCATATGGCAGCCTGCAATACACAACAGCACACGTTGCTCTGCTTGCAGGGCATCTGCATTGCCTCAAAAAACACCAACTTGTTGGCTTTAAGAGTCTGTTTCCCTGAGAAAACACTACTTCAACAGCCACGCAGAAACACTCCTGGGATACTTCTCAAAGCTGGAAGTTTGGGAAAGCAGCGAGGCCAAGGGGCCCTGCTGCAAACTTCAGTGCTGCATTCTCAACCCCACTACGCTCTGCTGAGCAGTATCCCAAACATCAGCACTTCCCACATTTTCTACTTGCTGTCTGTTGCCTAAACTGTTCTTTTCCACAACTTAACTGATCAATTGTTACTGTTCCACACCCGAAATGCACAGAGGAGGCTTTAGGGAAATGTCACAAGCTGCCAAGCACAGCTCCACACAGCGGCCCAGGTCAGGGCACGCTTCCTCAGGAAAACAGCCATTTGACTGTGACAGCATTTTCCTAACATCTGCATCTAAAACACTGCTGAGGCAGCAAAGTCTACATTCTGGTTTTCAGTGGAAAAAAAATATGAAACCTTCACTTATTCTGAACTAGTGGGGATTTATTTCAGGGTGGTTCCTTCTCTTCAATACTTTGAAAATCTTGCTAAGTTAACATATCTCATTAAAACACAACACAAAACAGCTAAACACTAGATTAAAAAACTTCCACATAACAAAGCACTGCTGACAGCTCATTTTAAAAAAAATCCAGACATTAACCTTGGGTTTGGACCAGATCTGGATGCATCCCAAGTGGTTGTCTTTAACTCCCTTACTCTGTGCCCCGGAATAAAGCCGTTAAGAGAAGCACAGCTCTCAAATCTGAAGTTAATACGCTCTAATAATTATCTCATTCTTCCCTTTCATTAACAGGGGATGGACAAGAAGGGGAACCCTTCCTCCCCACAAAGACAGGAGACAATTAGCAACTAACATTGTTTTCTTTATATAAGTAAGAAAGCACCGGAATCCTTCCTCTGCTTCTGAACCTTGAACTTCCGATCACCACTGCCTTGTTAGCAGCTCTAGGCACCACTATCTCTGGAGGGTATGTGTTGCAAACCTAAGGGAGAGGAAAGAAGAACATTCAGATATTACTAGTTAGCAATTAAAGGTTCACATTTAGTTTATGACAGATTGTTTGCCATAGTGTAAAGCAGCCCAGGCATAGAGTTTCAAGCCACTGAGATGCATTTAGAAAAACAACAGAGGAACAGGCACAAAATCAAGGAACGTGGTGAAGGAAACAATCAGTTTTACAGCTGCACCTAAAAAACTGGGCTGCACAGTACACAACACTTATTAAAAGGAAGTTCTTTAAATCCATACATTTTATGGAAGTTTCTAGTTTTCACAAAAAGAGAAACAAAGAACAACTATGTCTAGCAAGTTCCCTCTAAATCTTCCTCAGCTCAAGCTGAGCTGGCAGCAGTCAGATAGCAGCCTCAGGGACCAGCTTCACCCCTTTTCCTCAGACCAGTGGAGACTTTTCAACACATACTTCACAGATAAGCTATCTGCCAAGTCTGGCTTTACTTTAGACTTGACAATTTTAAAAATTAAGCTGAAAACCCTGAGGAAATGCTAAAGCGCTGGCACTAGAGAGTTACACATTAGCAAATAAAGCTGCAAAATCATTAATGATTTTAGATGCCCAGATTCACATGCCCTAATAAACTAATGGCAAAAGCACCTCACATCCTATCTCAACCCAAGCATCCAAAGACACACATTTAAAACTACCAGTCACTTCTGACAGCATAGGCTTGTCTTTCTTCAACCCAAAGCATAACAGTAGAGAAAACTAGTGAGGGAAGGGGGCAGAAAACAGGGGGGAGGGATTCAAGACCTTGGGTATTGGTGTCTTCCTCAGAGTTGTTGCTTTCTCATTCAGACAGGAAGGTCTGAACATACACAACAGCCGAAGAAATAAAAAGGGAATAATTTGAAATAGCAGTTGCAGTAAGCTTGCTGAAAAATGCTTTCATTTCATGCTGTTTAGAACTACCTAGCCTTGCACTGAAGAAAGAGAAGTAACAGCTGCAGCAGCCAGTTGAGACTGAAATGACTGAGAGGCCTTGGTCATCAGAAGATCCAACCAAGAAATTAAAAAAGGCTGTTTTCTCCTTCTTTATCCAGCCCCTTTCCACTCTGCCCTTATTTCTCACCAAGCCAAATCACTGCTGTTTACTTTTCTTCTAGACATCTGTCACCAGCCTGGTGGGACAGGGTTTGAAAATACCAAAAGCAGCTAAGGGTACTTCAGCTTTTTCCTAACAGATGCTTTGAAATTTCTCTAGAAAAACAAGTGTCTGGTAGTTTGCCAGGGTGATCAAAGCAAACCAAGGTGACTCTGCAGCTCTGCTCTGTTCTTCCTTGGCATCATTATCCACAACTTCACATGACAATGATGCTGCTTCGACTAAAACCAACTGAGCTCATTCCTCCCCAGAGGCACCACTGATGCAGCAGGCGGAGGTTTGCTCTGTGTCATTAATAACAAAGCAGAGACACTGCATTAAATGGCTACCTTGGGCAAGAATTACCTCGTATTCTTTATTAACATCTGTTATTTCCCAGTAGTCATTTGGAATTCCCATTCGCTGGTAATCCAGCTTCAAATCAATCAGCTTCCATCCGATCTCCCGCTTCTCCTTAGACATCTTGGGGTTGTAAGAAAAAGCATAAAGTTCTTCAGGTTTCACTGGGAATATGAAAACATAATTAACTAGTTAGAGAGAGATACAAAGACATATGGAGAGGTCAACACACCTGGCTAAGGGACACCTATTGGAGAAGCACCCAGGGAAAGGCAAGGAGCTGCAGGTGCACCACAACTGGTAGAGGGACTGAAAACACTTCAGTCAAGAAGGATCAGGAGACTTGGAAATCATTCCCTAAGGAAGCCAAAGGGCTCACCGTACTGCACTGCTGATACATTTTAACAATGCTATTTCCTTAGGCTCCTCCCTCCTCAAAGATCAGAAGCATGAAGTTTTCTTTTCATGCTTCACTACTCTAAGCAAACTTAGACTGATTCACAGCCCTTCAAAAATGTTTACAATTGAACACTCCATGGAATTGGATGGATATTTAAGTTTCTTCACCTCACATTTACAGGTTGTTCTTTGGGACAATACTGAGTGCTGACTATTCCTACTGAAATCCTCAGGAATTTCCAATACTCAGTTCCCACATGCAGACAGATCCACTAAAACACTTTGTTAGAATGAATTAAAACTACAAAGTAGTAATTTTACCCCAAAAAGTTATTCCCTACTGAATTCACTGCAACAGGCACGTTAGACGAGATTTATATCATGAAAATTAGTCCATAAATTAAAACATATATTAGAGATTTATTTTCTGTGAAGGGTTCATAAAACAGCTCGTGCACACCTGTGAGTTCATCGTTCAACAGTGAGTTCTGAGCCGCATGGAAAACTTGATAGATGTCTTGAACTTTACTGTCAGCCCAACAAAAGCTTCAGGCTGTGTCTGACAAATGGTAATTTCTTCCTCCCTCCATCTCTACCTTCCCAATTTCCTTCCCTCTCTTCATAAAATGCAAATCCAACCAATAACTCATTCAGCTGATTCCCAAGGCAGCAAGTGCTCCACAGACAGAGTGAAACCTGTCAGAGGCTGATAAAGTAGCCAGGTTACCAGGCAGGTAACCCACAGGTGTCAGTCACACACATGCAAATCATAAATAATTATATGCTCTGCCAAAAAAAAATGCCATGAAGGAAGCATAGGTACAGATATTTTAAAGCAACACAAGAGAACTGTTAGAATCCATAAATAGAACAAAAGGAGCTACAGCATAATACACAAATAACCACAAGACAAAAGAAGCTGATGCAATCCCCTGCAGTGACAGCTCCCAGACTTCAAGACTCTACACAAGTCTCTAATTTTCAAACCTGAAATAACACTGACAGCTTTTAAACATAACACCAGAAACTTGACAAGATACAGCATTAGAACTTTGGAGCTACAAACACTCCAAAGCTCAGGGCATAAGGGAGATGCTGGGAATAGACACAAGCCTTCATTTCAACCAAGAATAACCTAAACTCAGCAAAAACCTTTTCTACTACAGCACCTCTATTCAAGCACTCTGTGCTGGCCAGCATGCAGCAGGCAGATGCCATTAATCCCCGTCCCTTAGACTAGTGACATAATTACAAGATGCAATTACAAATTATAAGGTCAAACTCCAAATAATGGTTCACTGAAGGAGCACCCAAAAACAGAAGCTGCCATAGACAGAAGCCAAGCAGGAAGGTCAGTGGATTGCTGTTCTGCAAGAACAATAAGGAGCTTAGAAATTCCTCCATGATGGACTAAAAAGCTGAAGCCAGAAGGGACCAGAGGCTTTTGAGGATGCTTTGCTTACAGTCTTTAAGAGTGACTCCAAGTCAGGGTAGCCAGGGTGAAGCACAGGGTTTCACAACTGAAAGAAGACAAACACTGAAGAGTAGCCTAAACATGCAGTTGGGAAACAAATGAAAGATGCCAAGGTTTAAAGCTTTATTTATGGGATTCCAGAATTCTCTGAGTATCTGGATCAACTGGAAAGGGCAGAGCTACTCCCAAACAACAGCTAAGTCACAGAAATGCCTGGGAACGGCCTAGTATGGGATATGACACATGGTATGAGCACCAGGAGAAAAAAGAGTAGCCTAAACATGCAGTTGGGAAACAAATGAAAGATGCCAAGGTTTAAAGCTTTATTTATGGGATTCCAGAATTCTCTGAGTATCTGGATCAACTGGAAAGGGCAGAGCTACTCCCAAACAACAGCTAAGTCACAGAAATGCCTGGGAACGGCCTAGTATGGGATATGACACATGGTATGAGCACCAGGAGAAAAAAGCCTGAGCTGCCACACAGCCTC